TCTCTCTCTCTCTCTCTCTCTCTCTCTCTTTGTCCATCTCTCTTTCTGTCTCTCTGTCTCTCTCTTTCTCTCTCTCTCTCTCTCTCTCTCACACACACACACACACACACACACACACACTATACCCTCAGGCAAAATCATTTCTTCTTCTCTCTGTCCTTTCTGACTTCCGCCCACACTTCTGACGTGCACTGGGCATGTTGCCATCTGCCTCCTCCACTAGACAAAGCACTACAAGAGTGGGAACCATATATTATCCATCTCTATATGACTTACCCAGCTCCTGGTACATAGCAGTGAGTGCTTAACAAGCATTTGATAAGCAGATGGATGACTCAGTAATTTCTAACTCACATAAGTTGATGGGATAACTATAAAAGAAAATAGGATTTGTTTTGTTATACAACTTTCAAATTTTAACTTAAGAAAATCTAACACTTTATCAACATTTTTAAAATATGTTAAAAAGCCAAGTGTGATGGTGTGCATCTGTATTCCCAGCTACACAGGAGAATTGCTTGAGCCCAGGAGTTCAAGACCAGCCTGGGCAACATAGCAAAACCTCATCTAAAAATTAAAAAATAAAAATTGACTAAAACTGAACTGAAATTTTGAAATACCATCTTTTGGAAAATTAACTTTTTATAAGAAAAGTTGTTATGTACAAGATTATGGAAATCTAATTGCAGCATTATATGAAAATCTCCATGCTCACATATACACAGAGCCCATAGTCAGTTTGCTAACAACTTGTGAGCTTTGATGGGAAACAAGCTGAGGTCCGTCAACCTGACACCTCTTAGGGTTAACTCCCATTTCTCATCTAGCAACACTTCTCTGCTCCTTCTGCCTTTTCCACAGCCAATAATTTTATCTCGATAGAGGGTAAAAGTGTCTGATAGGATTTATTTGTTTTTGTTTTTGTTTTTTGTTTTTTTTCTGGTACGAGGAATCGAACTCACGACATTGTGCTTGCCTGGCAGGCACTGTGCTGCTGAGCTAAATCCCAAGCCCCTGTCTGATAGGATTTAAACTTCCCACTAGTCACTTTGCGATTATCCACATGCAAGTCACCGCGCATGGAAATGTGTCCTTTGGAAAGTGCTTCCCGGAAGCACTGAATCTGAGTTGTGATCAGAAGGCTAAGGACGACAGTAATTCAGTGAAAAGGGCAGAAAGGGAATTCCAGGAAAGTAAAATGTACCTATAAAACCCACTGGGGAGAAGTGAAAAAAGTATAGTGAGTACAGAGAATGGAAAAAAAATTCTTCTTGGCAAGTCAGAGACAGAGTGGAAAAGAATTGGACAAGATGAAACTTCAGAGGCTGGGACAGGTGAGTCCACTGAGAGTGTGAGGGGCTTGTTACAGAGCCTGGTCTTTTAGCAAAGAGCCATAAGAAGCTATGTAGGATTTCATGCAAGATGTAGCTCCATCAAAATTGCACTTCAAAGAGATCATTTTGGCCAGGGTGGGAGGCAGATTGGAAAGGTCTTGAGCAGTTCAGCGAGGAGTCTTCTACCATTATTTTAGGTGAGAGGTGAGGTCAGTTTGCACCAGGGCTATGGAGAGTGCTGGGCAGATTTGCATACAACTGAGAGGGTAAAATTCTCAATATTGGAGTAGCAGATTGGATAGGGGCAATGAAGATGACAGTGGGTCTCTGCCTGGAGCAATAGATTGAACGAACTCTGAGCTGGAGAATGCTGGGAAAAGACTTTTTCGCAGGGTGAAAAGGAGAGGCAGTAGTGAGTTTTAACTTCCATGAACTGAATTTAAGCTACCTTGGAAGTAGTGGAGGAATTGAGAGGAAAGGAAAGGCTAGAGTTCAGAGGAGTCAACTGCATCTCTGTACTTAGAAACTGTCTTAAGGAGTGGTTACTGGAGCTGCTAAAGCAGGAAGATAGACGGGGATGAGAACATACAGTGAAGGAAAGTGCTCCTGCAATAAATAGCTGGGTAAAGGAGACTGGACTGGGAAGGAGGCTGAGAAGGACTATCTAAAGAGCACAAGAGGAACAAGAGAAGTGTTACGTTATAAAACTAGAAGAAGAAGGAATTAATCAACAGAACTGAACGCTGCCAAGAGGCCAGCAGCATGATGTCTGACACATGCCTGGTTACGGGCCACTTGCAGGTTGTTAATGCCAATAAGAGAGGTAATGGGATTAGAGTCCTGAGGATAGAGGGTTGAGCTCCAAGGGGAAGAAGTCAAGGAAGTGGAGAAAAGACAGACCTCTCGGCTTTAAAGAGAAGATGAGAAATAAAGCAATAAGTGGAGGAAAAGTGGAAGCTAAGCCCCTGAGCACGTGTAAAGGCCAAGGAAAGAACTCGTCTGGGAGGGAGAAGTTAAATACAGGAGAGAAAAAGAATAGTCTATACAGCAAGTTTCTAAGACAGTGGGATGGATGAGTTCCTAGGCAAGATATGACTGCACTGTATTGAGATAATTTATTTATTTCACTCTCTGTGGCTGTTAAAAAGCACAAAGGTATCTTGAAAATAGCTGGGTTTGTAGCTGCAAATCAGATTTCTAATGTGATTACATAGATAAATTAGGATTGTTGTGAAAGGTGATGATCAAAATTCTCTTAAAATATACTAGGTGGTTTTTCTACAGAAGACTTCTGTAACCTCCTTGACCAACACCTTCCAGAACACCGGTTATGGCGCCATCTTGCTTTTTTATGTGTGGTACTTGATTAATATCTATGTCTCCCAGTCTCTACCAAGTTCAAAGAAGTGGCCTGTCCTCTCTGCATTCTCAGTCACTAGCACGCACTCGATGCTTAATGACTGCGTAGCAAATAAATGGATGCCTAAAGCTTGCGAGTTCAAAAACTTTAAGCAGTAAAATTTTTCCCGAGTCAAGTAGTGACAAAAACCTAAATTCATGAATTTGCAAGAAATTCACTTTAGAAGGAAAAGGGCAGATATTCACATGATGACATTTACAGCTAACTTTTGTACCAAATATATTCTTTGCATAAACAATCTCCCCTTAAATACATTTTTTCCAAAAGTACTATGATAAACAGATTATTTTACTTAACTGAATGTTGGAGGTATGGATATATGTGCATATATTAGAAGCATCTGTATGTGTACTTATATATATATTTATATACATATGCATGCATGTATATATATACAACATAAGGCACATGATGGTGTACAAGTTATAGCTAAAGCTGCCAGTGCAGACACTGTAAACTTCTACTACTGCCAGAAGTTTTGAGGCCAAGTGCTAAAACCTAACAGATGGAACTAGTGTTTTAAAAAAATCTTCCCTGAAAGCCTGTAAGTAACACCTTGAAGTGTTTCAGAATACCAAGAACACGCAGGCGGGTGGGACAGTGGTTACAGCAGTGTGCTCGGCTTGTACCACTCAAACAGGCTGGCCCCCTTCTCACACATCTGGCACAAGCCTGTCAGATCAGTTTTCCCAGCACTGGGCAAGCTCCTCAGACAGTGTGGAAAGGTGTTCAACGCTTAATACCACCTAAAGTATTACAGCCAGATGTTACCAGTAAGGTCTAATCAGGAGATCTACTGATGCACAAAGTGGGACCAACATAGCTTACGTGTGAAATTCTTTCTTACTAAAAGTTTACTTCACCAGAAGTAATGGCACAAGCCTGTAATCTCAGCACTCCAGACACTGAGGCAGGAGGACTGCTGCAAGTTCAGGACCAGCCTGGGATACACAGTGAGTTCAAGGCCACCCTGAACTACATAGTGAGACTTTGTCTCAACAAAACAAAAGAAAAAGTTTAATTCTAAGAATGCACAATTATTTCCATTTTTTTCTACCCTCTTAGCCTTTTCCTAGCAGTCCCTGTCAGTCATTACTCAGCAAAGTGTGGGTCAATCTACTTTGATGAGATTCTCATAAAAGTACAAAGGCGACCACATGTACCACTCAGAACTACTGCCCAGGTTATCTTCTTGGCAAGTTTCCTTAGAACTTTTGTCTCACTGACAAAACAGTAAGTCAAATTTCACAAACACTTATTCTGAGCATTTTCTCTGTGAGCTTATTGGTTGAATCCAAGGACAGGAATATGACTTTATACTACCATCCTATTCTTTTATTTCATAGAAAGGTCCCAACAATCTTCTTCCTATCACTGGATTTTGGTTTTACTTTTTTGTACATTATATGACTTAGTACTGTCATCTTCTTTGAGAATACTAATTCCCCAGGAGTTCTTAAGGTACACAGAATCACCTAGGGATCTTTTTAAAAATGCAAGATCCCTTACCCCACCCCAAAACAGACTCAGGAGGTTTTAAGTGGTGCTTTGGAAAGTGCAGTTTAACAAAGCAGCAGAAAATTGGGACAGAAGTGGCCTTCAGAACACAGTTTGGGAAATGCAGATGTAAAGGCTGAGAAGATGTGGTTCTGAGAAGTTTTTAGATCCGTACTCAGTAGTTGATCAGAGAAGTCTAGAAAGCACACTACATTTTGATGGATATGAAACTACTGAGCAACAAAACATGCAGTCAGTGCCCTTATAGGGCTGGTCTCACTCTTAGTTTGTCCTATTTGAGTCCCCATAGGATCTTGAAGAATGTTATAAATTTGATCCTGAATATACCTCTTTGTGCCTAGATATTCATAAGAAACTTGCCATTTGTTATGATCTTTTGTTGCTGTTGTTGTTGTATTTGGTTTTTCTCCGGTACCGGGAATCGAACTTACGAGCTTGCGCTTGCCAGGCAGGCGCTGTGCTGCTGAGCTAAATCCCCAGCCCCTGTTATGATCTTTATTAGTTTCAAAAACCACAGATATTCAGCCTACTAAATGTGGCTCCTATGACCACCCACCCCCTATTTATGCTCCTATCCCTCTGTAAGCACATCTTCTGTAATTATGGTTCTTGTCTTAGTTACTTTTCTTGTTGCTCAGACAAAATACCCAACACCCAAAGTTAAAGGAGAAAAGGTTTATTTGGCTCACAGTTTGTAGAGGCTTCACTGCATACTCAGCTGACTCCAATGCAGGGTGGCATAGCACATAGGCATCGCAGAGGAGAAAGAGTTCATGGTGGGCAGAAGGTAGCAAAGCAAGCAAGCAAGGGGCAAGGCAAGCCTCTCTCTGTCCTTTATATTGTATCTAGGCTACCAGGATTAGGGCAGTGCCAAACCAATCAGTGGACTGATTTAGTAATCACCCACCCTTAATTCTAGCATTATTACTAGAATTAGCCACCTCTGAAAATCTCCATCTATGACTTCATGAGGTTTTGTGGGGACATCTAGACTCGAACCATAACAGTTAGTATTACTGGAACTGCTACACACACCAGAAAAAGTAGGACCATGGAAGGGGATTGATGTAAATTTGAGATTCTCAATACAATCAAAGAA